TTCAGCTGGGTAATTTATTTCTGAGGAGCAGCAGTATCTGCAGCTAGGTCTAATGGCCCGCATGTACTTTTATAAGCTTTCTGAAGATGGATGTGTTTGTGCAAGTTCAGGTTTTCCTAATACAGAGAGCAATTGCAGGAGCCATTAGCAAAGGGCGCTTTGGCCTGTGCTGGTTCTCCCAGCGGGCAGCATCTCCTCCAAGCCCTGCTAGTGGGCAGCTCTGCTGTGTGTGGATCATGCAGGGCAACAACAGCTGCTCTTAGATTCCTACTTTCAAACAGTAATATCTTTAAGGATCTGATGAACTTTTTATGCTAATGTATCTTTGTTTACCTTAACTTACACTCCAAATGATCCCAATTGACTAAGTAGTGTTTTGTAGCTTCAGGCCTGATTCTGCTCCTCTGCAGGCCTGGATTAAAATGTCTCAGGAATTTTCCATTTGAAGAGACTAGAGGAAGAAAAAAAAACCACCAACAACAAAAAGCCACGCCATCTTTAAAGAATTCTAACCAAGCAGTTCTTGTTTCTTGCTAGTTCATCTGAAACGGTACTCTGAAATATAAGCAGCCAGGGTCCACGGCTCCAAGGCACTGCTGTCATGTAGGCTGCCCCAAAACCAGAGGCCTCCTGGCCTCCACAATCCTTCCTGTAGAACTGGGAATCTGCACACCTCATACTGGTGGCTCTGCCAGCTTCAGCCCTGCAGCAGAGCCCAGCCGTGCTGCAATCCAAGGTGGGTTGAGAGGACTCGAGACTAAGAACCACGGCTAAGGCAGGCAGCCTGGAGGAGCTGGGGCTGCCAAGCTCAGTTTCTTTTAGTCGCTTACATCACGGGTGTCTCAAATATTTCAAAACACTTGGGAAAAATTATTTCATTGGGAAATTTTCTAGAGTTAGTCCAAACACAATTATTTTTCTTCACTCACAATTTCAGAATTTCTTGAGTTTGATCACATCTATGACTGATGAACTGGGAAATATTCGTCTTTTTTATGAAAATACTGAATACTTCTGTGTCTCTGTGGATAATAGGTTATTTGCTATGGATTTGGATCAAGAACACTGGCTAAAGGAACTAGTGAAACAGTAAGACTCAGATCAATGTCCTTGAGGAAACGCAAGAAACCAAGGAATAGGACAGAGAATTAACAAATTGGCCAAAGAGTATGTGTGAAAGATGATAGGTAAACACAGAGCCAGAGGGGCAGATATTGCCAAAACCAGAGCTGGAATTTACTACGGTAGTTTATGTATATATGAAACTATGCAAGAAAGAAGAAGCGAGGGAGCAGAGCAAGATACAGCAAGATTTACTGGTCTGTTGGTGGGGTAGGGCTTTCCCCTTCCCACAGTATGCTTTTGGCTGTGTGGGGGTCAGGGAGGGGGGGAACAAAAAGAAACCACAATATTTGGTTTCAGGGAACGCTTTAGCCACCTTCTTAGTCACAGTTTTCTGAAATGAGAGAGCAGAGTTGGCCTGCCCATGCTGCTTTGGGAGGGAGGCCAGAGAACCTTCTTCCCAGGCTGGTGATCTGCCGGCCTGATCCCAGCTGCAGCAGTGCATGGAAACCAGGTTAGATGTCTGAGGAGCGCTAGCTCTTCTCGGGGGACTATTAACAGCCTAAAATACAGCTTTGTCTCTAAAAATGATGAGTTTTGCCATCGACTGACTGGGAAGTTAAGTCAAGCTCCATGTGAAGCTTTAAAATTCCAAATGTTTGAGTGTTTCTCGGGTCCAAACTTCAAAAGCCATTTCTGGACTCCACTGGTCTACTGAGTGTTTTTCACTCCATGTTCTTCACATAGAGTGGAAACGCAAGGATATATAAAAAAGGGATGTTAGATTCTGTATAGGGAGAATGTGCTCGCTGCTGACCTACCATCTGCAATTAAGTGTCGGACAATGTTTGCTAGGGACAGTGTAGTAATAATAATACCTGTGCGTGGCTGCTGCTCCATGGACACCAGGCTTTTGAAGAACTGGGTGAATACTGCCACCTATTGATTGACGAAATGAAAATGAGTGTCTCCCAGCCACCCTGTGAGTGTACAGAACAGTCTGCGAGTTTATCACCCTCCACCTGAAAATAGCCTCCCTCATTCCAGAAATGCTGCTTGTCTCCAGAAGAAACTACCAGTTTGCAAAATGGAATTAATGGCCAGTAAAATGTGCTGCTTAGCTGCCAAAAGTATCTGTTGTATATAAAGCTGAGATTAAAGGGTAAATATATTGGTAAATGTGCTGGTTAATCAGCCAGTTTGCATGGTTTCTTCAAAGGAAATGTACTGCTAAACTCGCATCTTCATAATAATAATATGCAGCTTTTGGAATAGTGAAAATAATAGCTTCTGGAATCAGCTCATGGTGTGTGCTACAGGTAGGTAAACTGTAGAGTGATCAGGTATGGAGTGAAAACTTGTTACAAAAGGTTGTTTAAATAAGTAGTTTTAGTACAGCAAACCACATTTTCTGCTCAACTAATTAAGCATGAAATATAGGCAAGTGAAATAATAAATGGCTGACATCTGAATCATCTCCTGGAGTCATCAAAGGCTATGAATGTGCAGGTTTCTGTACAAGATCAGGCTAACAGGTCTGCTTACATGTGATTTATCATAAACACAGGGGGGTGTTTTCTCAAAATCTTTGAGTCTTTTCCATTTCCAGAACTGCACATAGGTGTGGCTTGGACTTGGATACATTCAGCCATCACTTTTAGTAACTAATTTCTTGTTTTATCGTTTGGTAAACTTACTATTAACTCTCTTACCTTACTGAGTGTTGTTTTTTCTCTTCTGGCTTTTGAACACTTTAACAATGAACTTAAATCTATATGACAGGAAGATTAATGATAATGCTTACTTGATATAAACAAAATATCTTTTAAAGTTCTTGCTTCGGCAAGAAAACGTCTTGTATTCCAGTATTCCACTAAGCTGTACTTGGTAGCAATAGAGAAGTGCTAAGCAAAAAGCAAGCACAAAAGTTTTACTTTCCTCCATGCTGAAAGGAGAAAGCAAAGGAGAGAAGGGGGAGTATTGACACACAATGAGAAATTGCTAGAGAGTGTTTAAGAATCGACTAGTTCTAGTAAACAAATTTTAGCTTTTTCTAGTGAAAATAGCTGGGCAGTTCCTCATGAGAGAGTTCCATGAGCGGGTTGATGCAGTCCAAAAACTGCTATTGGAGATTTTGACTCCGAAGAAGCATCCCTGTTCAGAACAGCACTGAAAATGCAATTTCTGTGCTTTTGCTTATTTAATTTTGCTTATGCTTAGACACTTCAGATTTTCAGCTTTTTTTTTTTTTTTCCTCCATGTAGTATCCCACTGTTAAAGTGGTATTCAGGGGGTTTCGAAAGATTTCCCTTCTTTCTCTTGTTGATAGGGAGCAGTAAGCTCAGTCAGCTGTCCTGCGGACTGCTGACTAATGATCCTCAGAAACAGCAGGACAAAAGAGGGAATCCTGTACACTTTGAGCTTGTGATTGTCACTACACAGAAAAAGTAATGTTGCATGTAGCATATTGTCATAGCACCTTGTGTCAGCTGCAGCAAAGCAAGTGTATACTTGGACTGTGGATATTCTTGTCATATGCCTTTGAAGTGGATATATGCATGGTTTCAAACACACACACATATATATAAACACAAAAAGAAAATATCTTCCTCAAAAAGGACTCATATCCAGATTGATTTTGAAAGGTATAGAGTAACAAGTATACTATAGAATAGTATAGACTAAAAAGTATGGAAGTTCAAGTCCAATGAGAAATCGATGTCTGGTCAAGGACCAGATTTTAGCTTCAGCTATTTTTGCAAAAGGATGCTGTTTGGAATGGAAACAATTTTTAAAAACTTTTAAAAACTCTTTAAAAACAATTAAACAAACAAACAAAAACAACCACAGAACAGCATCAATTAAAAACAAACAAACAAAAACAAAACAAAAAAACACTCTTCTGTAGCTGGCTATGACAGACCCAGGAATGAAAATGTCAGTTTTTTTCTGCTGCCAGGTATTAGACAGGAGTGTTCCAATTACATGAACCTAGTGGACTGTCCAGGGAGGTTAATAGTTTCTAGATGGTTGTTTACTTTTGCCCATCACTTACATTATTTTTGGAATTCTGAGGCTGTGTGAAATTCCGTATTCTGACTTTCTAACATCTTTGTGGGTTTCTGTGGGATCCAGTGTTAGTATTTTTTGCCCAATTGTAAAAAATGGGTATTTTGAAATATCACCATTCTACTGTTTTGAAAGGCATTAACACAAATATGTTAAAGTTACAGGATCTCTTTTAGCTGAAATGTAGGCATCAGTAAAAAAAAAAAAAAAAAAAAAAAAAAAAAAAAATCTTATTCATTTAGTAATCTTTTTTTAAGCATAACTTGCTCAGGCTGGGAGCTTTCAAATGATCTTGCAGATGTCCCATAGCTGTGGATATGGTTGCTGCTTTTGTTGCTATGATTGCAGACAGCTGTAGTGGTAGCTTGCTTGAAGAAAAAAGAAACAATACATCACATGCAACATGCATTACTGGACACACTGTAGAACTGTGATTCTTTTTTTCCTTTTATTGATTTAACATAAAACTAACTGCTTTAAGATGGCTGTGTTAATGCCTTTTTGATCATACTTTATGGCAAATTAATTACAATTGCAGTTTTGTTTACTCTGGCAGTAATTATTTGTTCTACTTGCATGCTGTGCTGCTGATCAATTTTAAGGGTTGCAACAAGCTAAAAGCATACAGAAGTCATGGCATCTTTGACTACGGAGGCAAGAGCTTTAGATATTAGTCATTCCTATAGCTGCAGAGGTAAAACAGTATAGAGTTAAGGCACCAAATGTTCCAGATATTTTACCTGTGATACAACACTATTTGCTTTAAATACTATTTTGCTCTGAGAGCTTGTCAGTCATCTTGTACTTCAGTAATTGCTACTAACACCAATTGCTAGCAATAATCGTTTCATTTCTGATCATTCATGCAGTATAAGGAAGAGGTTTACTCATTCTGCCCAGAGGCTGAACCAGCAGAGACAGCAAAGCCAATGTGATTCATTAAAGGAAGACACTGGACAATTACCACCAACTTGTTCATATTTTGCCTTGGATAGCCTAAGCTGGTAAGTCAAATTTATTTTTCACACATATATTGTTAACTATTAGTTCAAGAATAAAATTGTTTAATAAACATATTTAAGAATACGTATAGTGTTGAGTGTTTTCTTGTCTGTTGCTTTCCTAAGATCTAAAGGTAATTCTTTTACAGCTATGCTGTGCCCTTCTAGTTTACCTGTCTATACAGTGCAGCATGTTTGTGCCACATGAAACAGACGGTGATCTACAATTTAGACTTTTTTTCTCAACAATCTGATTTTAAAAGGACATGAATATTATGTCAGTACTTACCAATCAAAATAATGCTTTTACAAGGAGAACATATTAATATTTATTTTTGAATTTGACTTTTAAAACACTCTGCTGTTAGGGAATTAAGAGGTTACTTCAGTGCTTATAAGTGGAAGTAGAAATCTGCTCACAATGATCAAGCTACCGTATGTGCAGCATGAAATGTGTGTAGGAAGACTTCTGTCACTGGTTTGGTGCATACTTTAACAGAGTGGTAGTTATGCAGATGAGACTGTGCTTTGGTGGTTATTTCCAGGATAGTACAGTAACTTTCCCCAGGAATGCAGGTTATTTATTCCTGGAAGCACTGCCATAAGTCCCCCTCCCCTCCCTCCTCTTTTTTTTTTTTTTTTTTTAATTTTTGGCAATGCAAGCTAGTGCTAATTTAATTAACAACCAGTTATAAGAGGAGCTGCTCCTGTTAGTCTGTATAGTTCTGGCCTTTACTGAGAAACCTTGTAACATGCTTGTTGTAGTTCAGGACTTGCTATGAGAATGCTAGTGAGAACACATAGGGCTGCTCTGAACCATACTGAGATCTCCTTTCTCGGTTTCATTTTGACTGGTGCTAGGTATGTGCAGAGGTTTCCATCAATGAAAATCTCAAACGGGTTCATTCTGGACATCACCTGTTTCTAAACTGTTTGTCTGATGTACTGTAACAATATTAGTTGTCACAGTGATATATGCTCAGGTCAAGCATGTTTCGCTGGCAGAATTTGTTATTTCAGTGGATGCATGTTTTTGGATTTCACTTGATTGGTGATGTAAAGACTGTGTCCTCACATTGGAGTGGGGAGGAGGGCAGGGGGGCATGAGTTACATAAAGGAGAATAAAGCTGCTTTTGCAAAATGGCATGCATCTATAACAATGAAATGCCAACATCCAGTTACATAATTCTGTTGCTTTTTATTATTATTTTGAAGTTGATATGTCTTTGTTTTCCTTATTTATTATTATGTATTTTATTCCTGATTCTACCCGATCTCATTTCAGTTGCTCCCCCAGGAGTCATTTTTACAGCTTAATAAGACCATACTTAAAGAAAGTTTTCCAGAATATGCAGCTTACATTCACCTTTCCTTTTTTTTTGTTCCATACCTTGTGTGTGACTAGAAAGCATATGTATGTTAAGTATGATAATCTTCAGCAGTGTTTTGCATCTTGCTGTTTCAGTGGTCAAGAACGCAGTGCATTTGCCTTACGTTATGCCAGCTGTTGCTTTTTTTTTTGTGTTTATTCCATGCATTGCTTCAGGGTTCTGATGGTTAGCATACAAAAATGCATATTTGTATTTTTCAAGTCATTTCTGGTGCATCGATTCTGTAGTATTGTTGAATAGCTGCAGCTCTTACAGTGTTTATCTAGCTTCTCTATAGATCCACCTGCTCTTGACTGAAGAAACATTTTTAAAAAGACTTAAAAAGATTCAATCCCCTTCTTACCTTTATGCTAATCTTAAGGAATTGCTTTGGCTCTGTACTCAGAAATGTTCACTACATAATATGGAAATGTTATTGTTACAGTCCTTGGAAGTCATTGTTCAGATGCTTAGTAACACTCTGTTGTTTTATTCTGAATATATACATCCCGTGTCTTTGACCAGGTCATGGTGGGAAGGACTTTGCTAACCCCCAGAGATATTAATGCCTGGAGTCAAAGTAAGGTTTGGTACAGTCAACGCGACCAGTAGTCCACACCATGGAAAAAAGTCCTGAGCAGACTTGGTATTAAACTGCTGCTAGGCTTTCCAGGGTTGGAGACAAAGGCCAGAAGCCTAATGATACCTAAATTTATTTTGGTCCTGAGACTACAGTAACCTCCTAGAGAACTGTAGCATGTTTAGAAGTTTCTTTTTACAGTATGCATGTTGAAATGGAACTGACCTGCAAACTGAATTTTGAATGTGTACTGGGAGACGTGATTATCAAACCCTCAGATTTCTTGGAAAACTGTTCAAAGACTGAGAGGTGCTTTACTCTCTTAAGATAAATCCTCCTCATAAAAGAAAATGTTTCTGTCAAGGTGTTCCATGTAAATAAGTCTCTTCAGTGACTCTTCTCCACAGAAAAATTAGGGACTTGAAGTTGATAAGCATGTAGTTTGGTCAAGCAAAATGTAATAACCTAGGGTGGACTGATAAAGGCATAAGCTGTGTTAGCTTTAATAACATGTATTGTTGTTTGGTTTTAGTAATACCACAATAAGTATGAGAAGCCCTACTAAGTGGGTGAGCCTAATTTATTTAATGTAAACTTACTAAATGCCTACACAGCTTCTCAGTAAATTTCCATATTGGCCTGTGGGCTTAATGAAGCTTGTAACTTCTCCATAATGTAATATTATGCCATTCAGAGGTACCAAACTTGTTGCTTTTGGTGTAAAAAATAAAATCCCAAAGCAAACAAAGTAGTGTATGCTGAGGTATATTTGAATTAAGTATTGGATGGATCTACTTGGCTTTTTAGTCCATGTCCTGATGACATTTAGGTTTGCAAATTGTTCTCTCTCATACGCTCTTATAAGTGTGATAATTTGGTGTTCAGTATCTCCCCTCTTGGAATCAAATGGCTTTGGGAAATTGAAACTTTCTTTACAAACATACCTATAATATTAACTGGCCTGTTTTTGTCTACAGTTTGGGACTGATTCTTGAGCATAGTTTATTGATGAAAAGAAGTCTTTGGTTGATGCTAGCTTCACCCAGGTGAAAACTAAGGTAAGAGGAGGATAAATTTATGTGGGATGATCTGTAGTTCTATATGCTAATAAAAAACTATGAGAGGGTTACTCTGAAAAATGCATTACTTTTTGGTAAATTGCTGAGTTTCTTAAAATGGTAATAGCATGGAATAGTCAAAGATGAAGATCCTTTGGTAATCTGCTATTTTTAAAGTTTTTAAAATAAATATCTGAAAATAAATTGTATTATTGAAGCTATTTTAAACAGACACATGTGAATGAAATCTTTTGACCATTTTAAAACACATTTTATTTATATGTTTATACTTCCAACTTATTCCATTGATACATCTCTAAAACAAAAGGCTGCCTTCAAAGTTTGTCCAATACTGAAACTCAGCACTTACCAGCAACTTCCATGTGGTAAGGTCTGATGTACTTAGATTCCAGAACATGGTTCCAAATGATACTACTGCTTCTTGGAACATTTGTAAGTTGGTGATCTTAATTCTAGTGTTTTCTCTACGTGACTTTAACAAGCACATTCTCATTACAGAGACATTGATCAAACATATTTCCCTGTGTTCCTTGGTTCCCACTAAGCCTTTCTGTCTAGTCTATGCAGGCTTATTGCTGGGGGCAGTGAATAAAAAGCTTCATATGAGGAGATGTCCTTGTAGTCACTGCAGAAACACATGTAATAAAACGCAGGATGAATTGAGTTGCTTGTGTGTGAGCCTCACTTTACCTTTCCTCTATAAGCTCGGAGAAAGACAGTCCAAAATCATCCTAGTACTGCTGCTCCCTGAGTCCCAGAGAGCTTGTTTCTTACTATAACCATTTTTGCATATTAGTTTCATGAATGCAACTCACACAGCATTGCTGTCTTCTGATTGCACGCACTGTTATAATTTAGCAAAATTTTCTCATCACATATCATAAGTATGTTGGCTTGATCTCTCTCCAATGCCTCATGAGCTTGGAGAATATATGAGGTTACTTTTCCTCAGATATGTTTACTCAGGATATCTGCTTCACCAATATTTGCAAATGAGAAAGGAAGGTGTAGATGGCTTATGAGATCTGGGTGGTGTATTTAATCTTAGGAACCAATTCATGCCAAAGAGCAGGTCCAACAGCAGGGTGAGTATTTAGTAAAGAAAGCTTTTATGATTGTAAATAACAATTAGACTCTAGTCCTGCTGTCTGGTTTGCTCACATGCAGGCTGAGAGACTATAACAACAAAGTCACAGGATTTGTATCATAGTACGAAGAATCTAAAGCTTATTTACAGGAAAAGATAGTTTGAAAGAGTAGCCAGGTTTACTATTAAGAAAAAATGGTGCATTTTTGTCACCTTTCTCACTTAGAGACATCCCTGAGGATGCAATTCAGTTCCTTCAGTATGGAACTGTAAACAGCAGCACTCAGGATCCCAGATTATTTTAACTGTAAAATATAGCATGTAAGGTCTTGGTTTGCAGTGCCCTGAACACCGTTTGGCCCCAGTAGTTTAAAGTAAAAATCCATGTATTCCTCATAATGCCTACAACAGAACCTAAACAGTTTTTCTTTCATTTATTTGCTATAACTTAATGCATTAGGAGTCCTAGTTACAGAGCAGGTTCTCCCCTGCAAAATGCTCCTCAAAATTCTGACAACAAAAAGCGGTCTCTGTAGCAAGGAACTCTCAGCCACCTGTCTTGCCCTGCTTGTGCTTGTGTCAACCTTAAGTCACTTGACGAGTTCAAAAATTCAGTAACCTGATGTATTCCTTTTCGGTTAGTTTGGTTTCATTCTGTCAAAATGCAGATTATGTACCAGTTATCCTAACATTACAGTAACATTTATAAAGCCTGTTTTCTGCATTACCAGAACTCACTTTGTCAAGAGTCCATTTCCATCATTAAATGAAACTCCTTGTTACACAAATTAGGAAATACTTCTGCAGTGGTCTATTTTTCTATCCTTAATTCTGCCTTGCCATAGATATCCATGGGACTAAATCCTTAAAGAGTGAATTGCCACTGAAAAGGCCTAGAAATATGCTTCCAAGTGTATGTGAAAAAAACTGTATGTGAAAAGGATTTTTGCCACAGAAATCATGCAATGTGTTTCTGTGATACAGTTCTGATCAATGACTTTAGTGTAGCAAAACCTTGTTAAACAGCTGTTGTTTTCTTCTAGGAACTACTAGGTGAAAATGACACAGCAAATGCATAATTTAAGTCTCCTTCAGACTAAGAAGAACAGCATGCCATCTTCTCCAAATGCTGCAAAGCGGTTGTATCGGAACCTGTCAGAGAAGCTGAAGGGCAGTCATACATCCTTTGACGAAGCATATTTCCGAGCTCGATCAGACCGGCTCAGTCTCCGTAAGACCTCAATGGTAATTACTTGATATTTACCAAATTGCTAGTTTCCTTCCTATTAATCTGTACACTTTTCCTCATCTTACTTTGCTGGTTCTCTGACTAGTGCTGTGCATTCTTCTCAAATTTAAAATTATGATCCTGTGTCTGACCTTCCTGAAGGCTGAAGAAAAACTGCCTTATGTTGGTGTTGTTTCATATTAGGAGTAAAGACTTAGCATTAGGGTTGGTCACAGACTGTGGTGGTGGTTGCTAGATAAGGTAGTGAGAAAGATTACACGGGACCAGTATAGCCTGGGTCCTCTACACTAGTGACAGAACAGAGCCAGGCACCCTAGTGCTGGTACAGGAAAACATGTAAGCACCTGCTGGTCTTAACATTCGATAACACTCTTATTTATGCCAGTGCTGGTAAAATTATACAACGTACAGCACACAGATTTTAAACAATGGGATGTTCCTGAAATAATAACAGTATAAGCTCAGTGCACTTCAGAATCTTTTACGTTTGCTGGAGCAAGATGAACCTGCTGTTGATATTGCCATAACAAAATAAAGTCTCCTTTTCCATAAGTAGGAAGAACAGACACATCCTTCAATCTCTCCACTTATGAAGAGCAATGACCTTTGCATAGTAGCTAACAGCTGTACTCTTGTGGCAGTGTGTTTCCAGCCTTTAGTTTGGAGATCATTTGAATTTGGACCTCTATTTAAATGTGAACTGTGGGAAAAGATCTCTTAGGTCATCTTTTCTCACTACTATCCTTCTTGCCTTTTTCTTTTGAATTACAAGTTTTTAACTGAGTGAAATTTAAAAACAAACTAGTGCTGGGGACCATGCCAGAGCAGACTGACATCTAGACTGAATGAATGCCAGTCTGTTAACATATCTTCTGACCAGTGTTTCTCTAAATACACACTTCAAGTTATGTATTCCTTCAAATATGGGATCTTCTGTCATACTTAACTGATGAGAAATGACAAATGAGGATAGCCCAAAGACTGAGGAGCAGCACACTGATGAGGCTTGAATCTGCTCAGGACACTAGTTGGTGGAGTCCCATGGGAGGCGGTTCTGAAGGGCAGAGGGGTCCAGAAAGGCTGGGCGCTCTTTAAGAGGCAAATCCTAATGGCGCAGGAGCGGTCTGTCCCCATGTGCCCAAAGATGAGCCAGCGGGGAAGAAGACCAGCCTGGCTCAACAGAGAATTGTGGCTTGAGCTTAGGAGAAAAAAGAGGGTTTATAATCTTTGGAAAATTGGGCAGGCCACTAAGGAGGACTATAAGGATGTAGCGAGGCTGTGCAGGGACAAGATTAGGAAGGCCAAAGCTCATCTGGAGCTCAATCTGGCTACTGCTGTTAAAGATAACAAAAAACGCTTTTATAAATACATCAACACAAAAAGGATGACTAGGGAGAATCTCCATCCTTTACTGGATGCAGGGGGAAACTTAGTTACAAGAGATGAGGAAAAGGCGGAGGTGCTTAATGCCTTCTTTGCCTCAGTTTTTAGCGGCAAAACCCGTTGCTCTCTGGATACCCAGTACCCAGAACTGGTGGAAGGGGACGGGGAGCAGGATGTGGCCCTCACCATCCACGAAGAACTGGTTGGTGACCTGCTACGGCACTTGGATGTCCACAAATCGATGGGGCTGGATGGGATCCACCCAAGGGTACTGAGAGAACTGGCAGAGGAGCTGGCCAAGCCCCTATCCATCATTTATCAGCAGTCCTGGCTATCGGGGGAGGTCCCAGCTGACTGGCGACTAGCAAATGTGACGCCCATCTACAAGAAGGGCCGGAGGGCAGACCCGGGGAACTACAGGCCGGTCAGTTTGACCTCAGTACCAGGGAAGCTCATGGAGAAGATCCTCTTGGGAGTCATCATGCGGCACTTGAAGGGCCGCATCTTGAAGCAGGCGATCAGGCCCAGCCAGCATGGGTTTATGGAAGGCAGGTCCTGCTTGACGAACCTGATCTCCTTCTACGACAAAGTAACGCGCTGGGTGGATGAGGGAAAGGCTGTGGATGTGGTCTACCTTGACTTCAGCAAGGCTTTTGACACCGTCTCCCACAGCATTCTCCTCAAGAAACTGGCTGCTCTTGGCTTGGACTGGCGCACGCTTCGTTGGGTTAGAAACTGGCTGGATAGCCGGGCCCAAAGAGTTGTGGTGAATGGAGCCAAGTCCAGTTGGAGGCCAGTCACTAGTGGCGTCCCCCAGGGCTCGGTGCTGGGGCCGGTCCTCTTTAACATCTTCATCAATGATCTGGATGACGGCATTGAGTGCACCCTCAGTAAGTTTGCAGATGACACCAAGCTAGGTGCTTGTGTCGATCTGCTCGAGGGTAGGAAGGCTCTGCAGGAGGATCTGGATAGGCTGCACTGATGGGCTGAGGTCAACTGTATGAAGTTCAACAAGGCCAAGTGCCGGGTCCTGCACCTGGGGCGCAATAACCCCAAGCAGAACTACAGGCTGGGAGAGGAATGGTTGGAGAGCTGCCAGGCAGAGAAGGACCTGGGAGTGATGGTGGACAGTCGGCTGAATATGAGCCAGCAGTGTGCTCAGGTGGCCAAGAAGGCCAACGGCATCCTGGCTTGTATCAGAAACACTGTGACTAGCAAGGCTAGGGAGGTGATCGTCCCCCTGTACTCGGCTCTGGTGAGGCCGCACCTCGAGTACTGTGTTCAGTTTTGGGCCCCTCGCTACAAGAAGGACATCGAGGTGCTTGAGCGGGTCCAAAGAAGGGCGACGAAGCTGGTGAGGGGCCTGGAGAGCAAGTCCTATGAGGAGCGGCTGAAGGAGCTGGGCTTGTTCAGCCTAGAGAAGAGGAGGCTCAGGGGTGACCTTATTGCTCTGTATAAGTACATTAAAGGAGGCTGTAGAGAGGTGGGGGTTGGCCTGTTCTCCCATGTGCCTGGTGACAGGACGAGGGGGAATGGGCTAAAGTTACGCCAGGGGAGTTTTAGGTTAGATGTTAGGAAGAATTTCTTTACTGAAAGGGTTGTGAGGCACTGGAACAGGCTGCCCAGGGAGGTGGTGGAGTCACCATCCCTGGAAGTCTTCAAAAGACGTTTAGATGTAGAGCTTAGGGATATGGTTTAGTGGGGACTGTTAGTGTTAGGTTAGAGGTTGGACTCGATGATCTTGAGGTCTCTTCCAACCTAGAAATTCTGTGATATCTGTGAATCCTCTGTTATCAACAGAGCTATATACTTACAGTCCCACTTCTCTCCCCTTTTCAGTGCAGAACTATCAGGCTGTGGAAGTGCCTATTCAATCAGTCATAATGAGAAGAATCAATTATGCGTTGCTTTTTTAATGGTAGTTTAATGGAATAGAGACTTCAGTTAACTTTTTCCTCTCAACCACTACACTGCTGTAGGAGTGACACAGCTTTTGTCACTGATGACCTACTGAGGGTACAGGCACCACTAGGTATAACCAGTATGGGGTCTGAGCTGGTGTCTGCAACAGTCAGTGAATAGTCTCCCATTGAACTCAAAAGGCTTCAAAACCCATTCTGTCTATTCTGCCTGTTTTTTTTTGTTTGTTTGTTTGTTTTTGTTTGTTTGGTTTTTTACAGTTTTCCCTAGAAATAAATGGCAATGAAGCAATTAGTGAAGGGGTGGAAATATTCCAGGTTAAGTTGCTAGCTGTTGTATTTTCTAATCATTGAGTTTCTGTGGTACAGAGGCAAGTCAGTGACTAAAATCATGTCTCCAGGCAAGTGAACAACATTTGTTAGAATTTGTTTTCTTTCAGCTTTGGCTAGTGAAGAGTTTTCTTTCCATTCTCTCTCGCTGTGCAACACTTTCCATTCAGTAAATTGTTGTCTTGCTGCAGACATAGCAATGTCCCAAAATAGCTTTATTCTTGAACTCATGTTTATCAAAACAAGACTTTGCAGAAACTACTTTAACGTTTTTTCCAACTCCAGTAGCGCACAGTAGACTTTTTCAGGCTAACCTAGAGCAAATATCTTGAAAGGGGTACTTCATTTTAATTAAGCTACATAAGATTGCATTTCTAAACACTCCAGCACTGAATCACTTACTGGAACATAGTTATTACTTACTGCAAAGCAATACTGTAGTTCTTTTCAGTATATACATTTGTGCACTAGTGTAACACCTAAATAAATTAATCACATAACACAGCTGTCTAGCTAATGATTAGAGGCTACAAGACTGAGTCAAGGAAAAAGAAATGTGAAAATTGTCCCTAAACTACACCTGATCGTTCTAAATGTGATTCAATTTCACTTTGAGTTCAATGGTTTTGTCTTTTCAGAGCAGAATAAATTACTTAGTAGATGTAAATGAAGTCAGAATTTAGAAGATATTTTTAGTATTTGTGACAATATCAACTGGACTGAAACTCAGTATGTGGGACTAAATACACTACATCTTACCCCTGGACTGTAAATGTCTAAAAAATGTTGCAATTCTAGAGTCTAATATATAGAATATGATCAGCTTTTTGCAGAAAACAATATAATCTTCAAATATGTTTTTGTTATTTATGTGAAAGCAAATAGTTGTGGAAAAGTGAGTGAGTACTGTAGAAGGTTTTCTAGGCTTGGAGAGCTGGGCTTGGTGCAGATTTCCAAATGGGACAATTTACTAGCATGGCTGAAAATGTGGTAGATATTTTGCTGTCTCATGAGGATGGTTTTTGACTGAAATAAGTCTGTTACGGTTAGATGTGCGCTACTATGTGGACAAGGGATACATGAACGCCTAGTTAGAAACGTCATATCACAATTCCATGTTTTTACACTCTGAAGTCACTGGACGTGCCAACATATTTTAGACTATTGGTTGCATCTGAATTGTTCATTTGGAAAACCTGATATTTGCAATTTTGTCTCAGAATTGTTTGCATTGGATGAAGTAGGTTATAAACGTCATGCTCTGTTTCTTTTTTAAATGAATGCAGCTTTTTCAATCAGATTTCTAATGAAATGAAGAAATAGAAATTCTCTTGTATCTTTGCATTTTTGGTGAAATATTCTTGCCAATAGATTTGCTGGCAAGAGTATTTATAAGGAACTAACTTAAGCATGTGCTCAGATTTTGTTCAGCAAGTGACTTAAGGAGAAAACTTCAGAAATACTTCAGTTATTTGGTTTGGCAATCAAGAATCTGAAGATGCATTCTTAAAGACATCTAGGCAGGTCTAAATCTTGACAAATAATCCAAAAATAACAAGTCAAATCGAAGTTTGGAAAATAATTTCACAGGAATCATTCAGATAGGAAAACTCTTCTGTTAAAGTATATGTAAATATTTGGAAAAGGACCAAATGCTTTTGTCAGCCATATCGCTGAGTTAATTTCAGCTGCAATGCTGATTTTAGCTATGGTTTTATCATTATTATGTAACAGGTTCTATTTTGTTTTTGTATAACGCAAAAAAATTCTGATATAGTACAGGATTTGAGTTTCACACAGAATTGGAATTAAAGACACATAATGGTATTCAGCCCTTACAGCAGTGTTCTACAAATGCTTACTCATTTAAACTTTATGCATAATCATAAGGTCAATTAAAAGAGGATGACTATTCTGATTTCCAAAAGGGGAGAAATTGTGCATGTACCCACTGCCACAGAAGTGAATATTTGATCTGAGACGTACCTAGTTTCCTGTCCTGAACTCCCACCACAAGGCTGTCTTTGATTAATATCATCAGTGCTACCTTTTTCTTCTACTCCCCAGCTGTTTGCCAGTGTTTCCTCAAATGAACTTAACTGATAGAAATGGGAACTAATGCAGTCATTCAGTTTACTTCAATCAATTCCCTTTGTAGTAAGCTATCTGTGAATTCACTCTTAAGTAAATTTTTCTATCTGTGATGAATTGCAAGAATAATATGATTTTGCTTGCTTTCTAATTGCATCAACACGGATATGCTTCTGAAGCATAATTCCCCCTTTATTTCATAATACAGCAGTATAGGAAAAGTTCCAAAATCAGTAAGAAAATAATTTGAAATGGGTGTAAACTAAGATGAAATTAATGCTTTTTTAGAAGGTAGATAAGACAAATATTTTTGAAGAATTGGTGAATATATTTTGCTTTTCTAATCATTAATATGAAAAGTCTTTCACTTCACAGTTCTGTATCCATAACAATGAAATTTCAAAGAGCCAGAAGTTTTTTTTTTCCTTCTTCCAGAGTGAGTTACCTTTTCTATTTAATTGTTTAAAAGGTAGATTTCCAAGTCTGCGCTAGTCTCCTTAGGTTCAATTTATTGCCGCAAAGTTCATTTCATCCTCAGATATTTCTCTAACATAGATGTCTCATTTATCTGTATTGAAAATTTGGGGTACATCTTATTTATATTTACTTGTTCTGCTGATCCCTAATATTCAGCATATTAAAACTTTTAAGGTAACATCATTTTGCAATTTCTTACTGTGTTATGAATGCTTCACATGCAAAGCAGGAGACCAAAAGATTTCTGTCAGGCCTCAGACAAAATGTTTAAGGACATTTTTAACTCAACAAGTTCCAAATTGTAGCTGTGGACTCAAGTTTTCAGAACCACTTGCAAACCATTAAACTATGTATTTCAGGAGAAAAGGAAAGATGTTACAGATCAGTGCTCTATCAGAAAGTATTGTTTCAATTAAGGCAGAATTTAGGCAGGGGAATGCCAGATAAAATTGCATTAATTTAAAAAAAAAAAAAAAAAAAAAGGAAAATTAGGTGTTTTGATATGGCTGAAATATTAATGTCTAATCACAGCAGAAGATGGTTTCAATTCAGAGTTTAGTTGCATCATTAAATATATATATATATTATTGTAAAATGATTGTCACTGTGGTTCTTCCATTGCGGGTTTCAGAATACAGGAAACTAGCTTACATAATGTATCTGGATTACTTTGTCCCTTATGTATACATTTCTTTAGTGCGCCTTCTGGCACGATATGCCTACATAGATCTCAGTTCCTTTATGTGACCACATGCTGAGCCCTCCTTGCTTAGCTGGGCCTCTTGCTTCTACTAACTCATTCTTAAGAGAAAAAAAAGCCACCACACTATTGGGTAATTATGGCAATGGGGCACTGGGAAGGAATTTAAAGAATCTTGGCAAATAACATGTCATTACTGTAGGCTCCAGAATGATGTTCTCATAACAGAAACCTGCAGGCCATGCTACCCTCCTGCCTCCTGCACCTGCTTCTCCCAGCTCATTTAAGAAATGATAGGTTTCTTTGTATTTACAGTTTTTTTACATACTTGTCATTGGTAAGGAAAAAGGTTCACTGGATCTCTCTGCTTCAGAGCTGCTGCCATATATGTTCTTGATTTTGCTTTCCTTTATGCTTATGCTTATGCTTACATTCTCTGCTGATCAGACACACTTTTTCTGAACATGCTCACTGGATAGTTATTTCTACTTTATTTAAAGATGATGCATTTCAAAGCTTCTTCCATTTACAAGTTACATGCAAAAACATAAGCACCTAGAAATGACTGAAGTGTTGGAGTGAACAGTACCTGTTAATAGCTTACACTGCACCTGTGCAAGTTTTTCTCCAGAATGACTTATTTGATTTGAATTTTGGTTACTTGAGTTTGTATACCCCAGATTTTAACTTTAAATTTAGAGATTGAAAAAATAAGTAGTCCAACACCTTGTCAAAATCATAGTCTTTCTTCCAGTTCCACATCAAAAACATACAATATTTCTTATATGGTTCAATTACAGGACAGGTATCTAAATAAGAGCAAGTTTGTTTTGGATTGGTTTGAATCTCATCTTAATCTTCCTAGAGCCGTGAACCAAGTTTAAGTACACAACTCCAGAGGCAGAGCAAGTTCAGTTTTGTTGCAAATGATTTCCATATTTTTAGCTGAACCTAGGATGGGGCTGAAGGTTCAATATTTTATAATAATCTTTCAAAACTCAAATTTTCCCCATTTATTTTTTAAAATAGTGACATTTGGAAAGTTCTACTGATTTTATTTTTATTTTTATTTTTTATTGGTACACAGAATTTCCAGTGCAATGAAGCTATGTTTGAGGCCGTAGAACAGCAAGATCTGGATGCTGTTCAGATTCTTCTTTATCAATACACACTGGAGGAACTGGACCTGAACACACCAAACAGTGAAGGACTAACTCCATTGGATATTGCCATTTTGACAAACAACGTCCCTATTGCTAGGACTCTTCTACACGTTGGGGCAAAGGAAAGCCCACACTGTAAGTAAAGTACACATATTGAATTGGTTTAGATAATTGCCTGTAAGAGATTAGGTTTGCTATTGTTTTAGGAAATTAATTACATTACACACAAAATCTGACTGGCTTTATCATGAAGATAATCATACCAGCAATAGCACTACAGTGCTGGAGGACATCTGCAGAAATATCTCTTTGTTGAATGTGTGCAAAGCAGGCTGTTTTTGATACACCAACTGGTTAATCAGGTTGAATTTATAACCTAATGAATGGAGGGGCAGCTGAGTTAATATCAATGCTGAGAAGAAATCTTTAAAAACACAGAAACGGGTACTGAGTGAGTGAGTGATACAAGATCATGGCATGAAAATGGAGATAGTCATCAAAAATGAAAGGATTATGGGTTATCTAGGCTGTGGTTTATTTTGATTATTTTGGTCTTGGTTATGCTGCCTTCAGGAGAATGATTTTGTTGAAATTTAACATTTCCATTACCTCAGATTCCTGCTCATAACTCCTCATCCCTATTCTTCAAATGGACTAAAATTGCAGTCAAATGAGACTTCAAAGTTCTACAGAACCAAAGGATATCTAAGCACAAAATAGGCCTTCACGCATTACTGGAATACCATTGTTGCTTATAACTACATATTGTAGTTATAGAACTGTCCTTTGTATTCCTTCATGGGCATTTTTATGCACAATTTGTGGGCTGGAGGGTGACTTACCAACCCAATTAATCAACCGTAAACCATGACACAAACTCTGACGCCTTACTTATGTCTAAAAATACACCAATGTTGTATGCGAATTTGTTTCAAACTGTCAATGCCTATATTTAGGACATTCCCAGCAAGGCTATAATGAGACTGTGTTTGAGGGGTTCGGCCACTGCAGACTCTGCCATTAATTTGAAGTTAGTTAAATTAACAACATTTAGTGCTGGCATGTCAATCTCAGTGCTCCAGGAAATTGCACCTTGAGGCTACTAACATTGCCAGTTTTTTCACTGGAGTGTGTGTGTGTGCGTGTGTGTGTGTGCTGAGTTTTTTTGCCAGACCCTCAGTGTTGGTACACCTTTATTGCTTTTCTATGTCCACAGCACTTATATTATCATTTATTCTGGCCTCCTTTAACCTTCCCTGGAGATTTTTGCATAGTGTAGCTGCTCAGTGAAAAGAGTTTTTTAGCTTTATATTTATTTGTTTATTTTTCTGTCATGGTTCATGACTGAGGCTTTAAAAAAAAGTGTGACAGCATTTAGAGTACATGATTGACTGCTGAAGCAACATTCATTAACCATGACAAATCTAGAGGAAAACACAGTCTTGAGTGTTCTAAACAGCAGTAAAAAAGACTAAACTAATTTTTCATTGACCTCATCTGTAAATAAATGCAGTCTGATGGCGAGCAGGGGCAATCATAAATTAGTATTCATTTCCTGTAATTAATGCAAACATGCCTATGAACACAGAGAATATGAATACATAACCACCTCATTTCCATTTCAAAATATACCCACCAAATTTCCACTTCACTTATCTTGATTTTTAGCTTTTCTGATTGAAATAAAGGTTGAAGTATTCTCAATAAAAAGCAAATGATTGTTGGTTGTTGTTTTTTTTTTTTTTAATTATTAATTATTATTATTTTTATTTTAATGATTTATGATTGCTACTTAAGAGCAAAATGCAAAAAGTTGTTTTCAGCACTCAAAACAAAGGTCTGGAACAGCTTTGTATATGACTTTGTTCTTGTGAAACTGACAGTGGCCACTTTATTTTCTCTAGTCTTTCTGCTTTGCTTCTTCTATTTAACCAAACTTGTTAGAATTAAACCCATTCTGTTTGTATGATGTCGGGCCTTCAAGAACATGATTCAGCACCTAGTAGGAGCATTTTCATTTCTCTGGTGAGTGAGTGGTGAGCAATTGAGAAAGACTTCTCCAGGCTCAGTAGGAGGGGGGATTTCAAGGTAAAATTCTGACTCACAGCAGTTTTGGGACAGGACACAAGTATCTCTTAATCTGATTAAGTGATTATATAGCACCAATACAAAGACCTGGGAGACTGCAAGGTAAAGAAATTCCCCATTGCAAGTGTACGCTGAAAACTTCCTATAGAGAAATCTCTGGCATCAGTGACCAGTGACCCAGCTGAAATTTCATTATAGACTCAATGCTGTAGAAAAGAGGATCTGAAGGACAGATAGTTTCCAGCTGTATCACCTGGACTGCTGCCTGCAATAGGCAGAAGAGCAGATAAAGCAATAGAATGTAAAACTATAATCTTCATTTCCACATGGAACTCAGACTGTGTAAATCTCCACAAGAACCCAAAATCTCTTAAAGTAGGATCAGAAAATACAACATTTAAAATATTAATTTAGCAGGGAGGAGGAAAAACATTTGCTGTTGTCGAAGTCTACTGTTATCAATCTTTTCAGTTATCCTTATTCATCATATATGGCTAGTCTTATTCATGTGAACCTAAATATAAATAAGATTAAAATTTCCAGTGGCTGAACTGACACATTTCCAAGACCTGACAATTGTCGATCAGAGAGGAACAGATACTCAGTGAGAAATTGAACCAATGCCAATTCACAATCACCTGAAGTTCTGGCACATAAAATCTCCTTTCTCAGTCCTGTTGTGCTATCAGATGTGTTGCATGCTTATTGTAGGCATGAAGCCAGGAAACCCCGTCACCTTTGGCCTCCCAGTAAACAGCAGTTTAGAGAATACCAGCAGATTCCAGTAAGCCTGGCCATATGTCTCTGATGTCTGTATGAAGAATGATCAAACTTCAAGAAGGATGGCTACAAGCCAGCTTCTGAAAGCAAAGTCTAAGAAACAAACATTCTTCAAAAACAACCTTTCGGATGTCAGAGGTGTTGAGTAATTCTTCACTCTCCTCCTGTGGTTTTAAAGATCCCGTGGTACTTTTCACATTAATATGTAGCATTATACTTAGATCTAATAAAATTCAATTGTGATATTGTAATGAGAGACAGCGGGCAAAGTTAAAGCAAGAGAGGTTCAGACCAGATAAAACAAACACCTTTTTCACCATAAGGACAGTAAAGCGGTGGAACAGGTTGCCCAGAGGGGTTGTAAAGACTCTGTCCTAGGAAGTTTCCAAGACCAGAATGGGTAATGCCCTCAGTAACTTGGCCTGACCTTGTAGCTGGCCCTGTTTTGAACAAGAAGTTTGGTCTAGAGTGTTTTGATGTCAAAAGCCAGTCAGAGTTTTAGTCCCTTATATGGCACAGTTTGATGTTTCCAGAAATTGTTACTGGTTGGCTTATGCAAGTAAATGATCAGTGCAGCCTGTGCAACACTGCTGCTGTTCCTACAAAAACCTTCGGGAAACTAACAGCCTGCTTGTCCCTAGAGAGCAACACCACACTATTGCTAAGAGTAGTGACTTGTGCCAGAGAAGAGTCTTGGATAAATAAGTCTTTTAAAACTATTTCAGAATTCTTCTGCAAATTACCAGACACCAGAGAATAGTTATTTTCTGTGATTTCAGAATTCCTTCTTTTATACATTATATCCTGCATATTGAACATCAAATTAGTTGTTGCATTTCTTCTCAGATTAAGTAGCTTTACAAATCCTATTTTCTAATCTGTAAAGAGATTTAAACAATTTCAGACTAAGAGCAATTCTGAAAATAGTGCTTGATTCATCACATTTCTCTATATAATCAAGGGGCTGGTTTAGGGCAGTTTTGTGGACTTGGGTTCAGGTCAAACCTTTTTTGTTTTGTAATCAATATGATTGTCATTTTTACCTTTATATAGTACACGATAGTTCATACTGGCAATCTGGACTGCTAAATTTTGAATTAAAATTATTCTGAGTACTGGTGAATAACAATCTCCACATGTAAAACTGCTCACTATCTGTCAAGCCTGTCAGAGGACTAATTAGATATTACATGGGCAAAACTGAGGCACAAGAAAAACCTGAAAAGAGAGCCATTGTTTCCCAGCCATGGCCCTTAAGCATAAAATTCTCATTCTTAACTTTTCCAATTAGATCTCTTTTGTAGAGATTTATATATTGTATGTGTTTATCAATAACCAATACCAACCTCCAATCAAGCTGATGATAAAATATCTATTGGAAGGCAGAGTGTTCAAAGATTTGACCTTACATAGGTTACGCTGGAATTCATAAGGCCAGAATTTTGTCATGTGAGTCCCTCAAGCCATTTTTTATTTTTCCCTTTTCTTGGTAGTTGTTGACATGGAAAGCAGGTCAATGCATCTGAGTACATTGGTCCAGGAAGCCCAGCAGCGAGTTACTGAATTGTCTGCACAGGTGATGAATGAAGGCCTTGGTACAGACAACACAGAAAAAGAGAAGCAACTAAAAGCTTGGGAATGGAGATACAGGCTATACAAGCGCATGAAGGCAGGCTACGAGCATGCTAGTAAGTAGAAGAAAATAGTTGCAAAGTTCAAGACAAGAACTCTACAACTGAGAACACTGCCTTTGTTGAGAAAGGGTGCTCTAACTGATTTTCATAGCACTGCTGTGAAGTAGATGAATGTTAGGATGGGAAAACTAAGGCATACGCAATTAAATAGTCTTGCACAGAATGAGAAAGAAATTGATGTTAGGACCAGAGAGGAACAAATATCTGAGAGTAGCAAGCACACAGCTTCTAAAGGGAGTGGGCCATGTAAAACTGTTGAGATGAGATAGATCCACAACTCCTGGTTCAGAATCTAATGATTCTGTCCCTCTTCTTTCACTTCACGTTTACTTCTGGATTTCATTTCATGTAATCAAAGTTTAAAATAGGACAATTAGAAAAATATATGAATGTGGATAAAAAGGGAGAGGAACATTTAGTCTTTTTTTGCTGTTGTTTTATTCTGATTTTTTAAAATATTTTTGTTTTAAAATAATGGGGTTGTTGTAAATACCTTTTTTAAAGGACTATTTTTCATATAAAACCATGAAAACGTAATTTTTTTGTTGGCATCTACATACAAAATTTCATCAGTGTAGTCAGAGATTGGGCCACTTTAAACCATTCTGCAAGTGAGTCTACCCAAAATAAATGTGAATTTGGGCCCATGGGAAGGAGTAAACATAGCTGAACTGCTTCACATTTAGATCTTTTAGCCGTTTCCTATTAAATGAAATATAATCATTGCTATAAACATTTTTGCAGCCATCTCTATATATGTGTACTTACAAAAAATTTTCTCAAATTTATTGTATTTTAAGATTACTTCTAGAGAGATGCAGTGCTCCTTGTATTAGACATTAAATATAGCAAATGCAGCAGTATTGTAAGTTTGTATAATGATTTTTTTAAAATCGGCTCCAGCAGTAAGTAATGCCATTCTGTTTGATTTCTGAATTGAGTATGATTGATATTCTGTGAATTAAACTTTTTTATTTTTCTCCAAAATGTTAGGTCTCAACTGACAAATGTATTTTGGAACTACCGCACTGAAACATTTGTGGAATTTGCAATTTCTGCATCACAATAATGTAAAAATGTTTTCTGTTATTTAATATATTTGCATTTGTTAGTGAAACCATAAAGGTTTAATTAGCTCTTTGTGGTTTTGTCCTTTCTCTCTCCTCCTACCCACCCCAAGAGATTTATAGGGGCTTTTCATTGACATAATTAGCATGAATCTGTTTTATTGGGTTACATATATGCAGGAAGATATTTTTAACTGAAAGGAGCCAAAAAGCATGATAGAAACAAATGGTGTCTGCAGCATATTGTTAGCAGGAGCACTAATTAAAATTCTCAAAAGGCAGAGAACACAAACACCTACAACACAAACACCTACAACCCAAAGCTCACAATTGCAGAGTGATTTTCAGTGGGTTCTTTGAAGACTCTGAAACATTGTTTGAATAGGATTTGTTGTGATGAAGAGCTGATGTTTTCTCTTCTCTCCCAGGAGCCCCTGAGGCGCCAACCAATGTCTGTCTCATGGTAACAAGCAGTACATCACTCACTGTCACCTTCCAAGAACCTCTGAGTGTCAACTCAGCTGTGGTGACCAAGTATAAAGGTACTGGATTTAAACATCTTTCATTTACCTTAACAACCTACAAAAATTTGAGGGCCAAATGAGAAAGGTGTTTTCACTAGAAATGTTAGAATTTAATAATTTTCACAATAAATAGCTGTAGTAGTTGAATTTTTCTTTTAAAAAAAAAAAATAATAAAAATCCTCAAAGACAAGCTTTTATTAAAAAGGAAAAATAAATTAACCAAAAGCTTTCTCCTTGAGTGCTTTGAAGGAGTTTACTTGACTTACTGTGGTTAGGACATCAGCTCAGTGACTGGATTGAGATGAGCCAGCTATAAAACACAGGCTAACTTTTGGTGCCTGTGGGCTTCTGAAACTGTGTGTATCCTTGCAAATGCCAAACCCACACTACCATTGCGTAAAGGAATGCCTCTGGAAGCTGAAACTTCTGGCAGAGGCATTATACAGCCCAACTAATTAGCTATTCCAGGGCTGCCACATCATTCTTGGAAGAGCAATACATATGGGGTGGCACCAGTTAGTTGCAAAGTGGAATGAATAGGAAAATGCTTTCATCTGAATAGCTCTGTTGAATAGAAAATGGTTGCAAAACAGAATTTCTCTTTCACAGAAAATCCCAATATTAAAAAAAAAAAAAAAAAAAAAAAAAAAAAAAAAGTTTTACCAAAGATTGAAACAAATATGAAAATGAGAAAATTTAAATTTAAAAAACTCCTCTTTAAAGGAACGTGCAGGTTTTCTAAAGTATCTGGAACAGTAAGGTCTTCGATGTTAAGTGCAGCAACCAGCAGCCTTCATCTTCAGTAGGAGCTTGCATACTTCCACAGGTCAAGAGATCTGAAAGCACTGTCCTGAAGATCTGAGGCCTTCTTTGCATACTCCAGGGGAGTGCAGAGCCCGAAAGAGTCTGAAATTATTTTCAACTGTGTTTCTCAACGTTTCCTGTTGTATCTGTTCCTTTGTATTAATAACTAAAACCTCATTGTTATAGGTATTTGTACCTTGGATTTCCATTCACGTAGTAAGAACCATAATGGTTAGGTCCAGACCATTATATTTCATGTTTCTGAGTGTAGGTGTCACAACGATTGCTTCAACAGGAGATGTTCAGAAAGCTGCAGTCCATCAAGTGCCGAACAGCTCATGGAGTTCCTCCAAAGGTCGAACATGCTACCAAACAGACTCCACTGCACAAGCACACAAAGGAGTACATAAGATTATTTTGGAAAAGGCATGTGCCTTCTCAATCTTCTCTCTCTATTTCCAATCACAGATGCCAGTCATCACTGGATATGCCCAGAATTATTTTTTTCATAGTGCAAAGGGAAAAAACAAAACCAAACAAAATGCCAGACATCACTAAAACCATCAAAGTGATTCCATTCTTGATAGCCTCAATAGAAGGGTAAATTACTGTATTACACCTATTCAGCTGTGCAGTGCTGCAGGAAGTGTGATTTGCAAAAACATCAAAGCCCTTTAGGAGCTTAAATCTAATTTTCAACAATGGGTTGGGTTGCCAGGAAACTAAATTTCATTTAAGGGCTTCCTACTGCCAGATTTACTTGTGAAAATGATACTTGGGTTCCCGAAACATTTAAGTTCTCTTGAAAATATCAGCCTGCTCTTTGTGATATGCAGGTTTTAAACAACCCTGAAACACTGTCCATATTCTCATTACAGTAAATGTTGATATTTTCACAATAAAGCAAATTCCCATATAGAACTGATTTTTAAATCAGAATACTACAACCAGTTTCTAAATGTTGTAGTATTTTATCTTGCTTATTCATTTGGATTGTCTATTTCACACCATGTCTGTTCTGTCCTCATCTTAATAAGCACAACATTAAGAGAAATTTAATCCAACTTGACCTAACTTTCTAATCAGACTAGGTAGCCTTGCCGTCATATTTTGAATTACCCTCACTGGTGCTCATTTTATGCTTTATCAAGTTGACAGTTCTGCCAGAATGTTCTTTTTTAATACTTTATCCCAAGAGACTCACATATTTATGGTTAGATAAAAAGAAACATCATTAATAGCTGCTTTTGATGACTTTCGGGAATTAATTAAGCACTGGTTGTAGAATTGTTTATTACATTATGGAGTGAGATTCTGTGTGCTAGTTTGAGGGGTCATAAAACGAAACGTTCAAATGATCTCTTGTAGGAATGATTAGAACCAGCTAGCAATTACCCTGAAAGGAGAGCTTGATAACATTGTCTGAGGATCTTTTCAGTCACATGTATAAATCTCCTATACAAAATAAATAAATAAATAAATAAATAAATAAATAATCTATGCATTTTGCTGATTCAGGGACAGAAATAAAATGTTAGGTTTTATTTTGCTCAATACTTTACCATTTCTTTTTCTAAGCAAATAAAAAATCAGAAGCATTTGTAGGAGTGTGTAGGGAATACCTGCTCATTAACAGAAGCTAATAATGTTCTTTTCTATGGACCAGAATTATAGGGGATGAAAACTGACATCACTTCTGTTCAGTTTAGTTTAGTTCCCTAAAAACATTGAGAAGCTGCCAATTCCTTTTTTTTTTCTGTATTTTTTTAACATATTTTTCCAAATTTTACTTGCTCAAATGTCATTTAGAAATTAGGCCTGGAACATTATCTAACTGTCTGTTATTTTCCTGTGTGTGATCTTTTCCCTTGTTAGCTGTATGACTTACAAATAATAATACAGGAGAATAATACTTTGCACTCACTCTCTAACCACTAAAACCATCTCACTTCATTAGAAGATTTAATTTTAACCACACACAGTGAATGAGTATTGACTTTGGTGTCCCAGCTGGATGGCAGTTCAGTGACTGCATTCTGTTGAGCCATTGCTTTAAGGAGCCAGAGTATTCTCTACTTCCTCTCCTGGATTGTTGTTTAATGTTGCAGGCACCATCCTAATGGCTCCCTTCAGTTTCCCTCCAGAGAAGGCTACAACGTGGTGGTGGCTGATGTGAAATAATTCCAATGTATATTGTAACTTAGTAAAGTGTTTTGAGGCTGGAAGCAGACAGGCATACCATAAATCAATAATAATAGTAATAATCCACTCCATGCTACAGAAAGATTCAAAGCCAGAGACACCTCACTCCAGCCAGTTTTAGGAAGGATGTGAAGCATCGCTGTAATACTGAGAAGAAAAACCCATGCCCTTGGTTAATCATGCCCTAAAGCCAAACTTTACATTCCATCATGGAAGTACTTAAGACCTGCTTTAGTTTTACATTTTTGTAAACACAATCAAAATGTTCCATGCTAATATAAAAAATAACACCACCATTTGAAGCTATGGTGGATCTTTTTATAAAATGTTTTTTTTAAAGTGTTGTTACTGCATGATACGTTTTTACCCTAGAGGTATGCTACAGTAACCATCTTGATGCAAAAAAACAACAACAACAACAACAACAACAACAACAACAAAAAAAAACCACAGCAAATACATAATCCACTTAGGTGCTACTTGACTCCTAGAAACATCTCCATTTGAGCTGTTGAGCTGACTAGTAAGTGCTTGGTAGAACTCCTAAGACTGGTTGTCTTTCTAGGGTTCACAGGTTCCACACAACACATACACACAGAAAAATAAGATTAATTAAAAGAACAATTTATGATGATAAGTAATTTTATTGCACTTATTTTCTATATATTCTAAACCTGGTATTTATTTTTCTTTTACAGTCAATAAGTACAGGTTAACCTTGTCTTATTGCATACTATTCTTCATGAGTTTTCCATTAGAAATAGTCATAGTAGTGGTCTGATCCCCAAGTATAGGATAAGAAAGAAAAATGGACACAGTGCTGAACATTACCTACTGGGAAGGACCACTATGCAATGGAAAATCTCCATTTATATTTTATTTACCATTTTTAAACAAACATCTATATCCCCTTTTGGAGAAAAATGAAACAGCTTGTATAACCAAAGTTGAGCTAATTTATTTAAGAGCCTGGAACTATTTATGTTTGAAGAGAGAGGAAGACAGAAAAAAATCTGAGACATGTTTGATGTAGCAAACAGAGCTGATCTTCTCTCTGTTTGGATGTAGCTGTGGAATTGGATGCCAAGTTATTTTCCAGATAGTGATGCTAAGCTGTCTAGGCTGCTTTAGCCCTTGTTACCTTTTTATTTAGTTTGTTATTTTAGCAGAATATTTCATGTTAGTCTGGATTGCCCAGCTGCCTTCTAGGATTTCTGTTGGATGGAGAGAAGATTTTTTTATTTTCTATGTCAATGTAACTTTTCTAAAAAATAAGAGGCAGACAGCTTAAATCAGGAAAGAGGGAGTTATGTCTTGCTTAAATTTTGACAAAGTCACTTCCTGCCTCCTTTCCTCCAAGGCAATTGTGGTTCATTTCAGATTTTTTTTGCTTTAGAGTAACTTAAATTGTCTTTAAATTGCTGGTTCAGTCCTAGTTAGAAATGCATTAGCCTCAGTATTTTGCTATAGGATGGCCACATGTTGTATGTCAGTTATAGGCAAGCACTTTTATCCAGGAATTTGGTGGTATCATTGGAAATCTTTAATCAAATGAAATTTAATCAAAGGATTAAATGAGCCACCTTTCATTAAGGGCCAACAAATGAGATTATAAAATGAGAAAATTTGCCAGGTTGGGCCTGTAGGATATGTGTTCTGTAGCTCAAAAAAGTCAGTATTTGAGATTTTTAACTGACATCTCACTATGTCAATGGAAGTCTTTCATTGAACATTTTGGTGAGTAAAACCTCAAAGATTTTACAAAAACTGTCTATGATTTTTGTGTGATTCTGCATGTTTTACATTCAAGAGTAGTACTTTCACAACTAAATAATCTTGTCAGTTTGTGTCTGTCTCTGTCCCTGCAAGCATGTACAAACACTCATATATTGTACGCTTTATAATTGTGTATTTGATTTGTTTATCAGTAGTTGAATTGCCATGTTTGATTGAGTTTAGGTTTGTTCCATAGCAGGCTTCCTGCAGTGATCCATCCAGTATTGCACAGTGG